CAGACAGAGCCGGCACAGCTCGTTGACATGGATGATCACGTTGCTCGGGCTGTCGCCCTTTTTCCTGCTGTACGTTTTCATCGTGCGCCCTTTCCAGCCGTGGGTGCCCGCGGTGCCGCTCGTCGATCTATCGGTTCTACTACGGGGTATATCCCTTTTCCCACCTTCCCACGTTCTATCCAGCTCTTATCTATCCCCGTCCCGCGCTCTCCTTTTTCGAATTTGCACGGCAAGTGCACGATCGGAGCGTGTAACGTCGAAAACGCGACGGAGTTTTCCCGAGTGAGAAGTCGCAATCGGCCAACAGACTCGGTCACACACAACGGAATCTATAATGGCGGTCGTCCTCAATGGCGGGCGCGTACGGCGGACTGCAGCGCTGCGCGCTTCGGCGGAAGAAACGCTACGTATGTATGGATCCGCGCGCGCGCGAGCGCGAGCGCTACGCGAGAGCGAGAGAGACGCGCGATCCGGACGGCCGCGAGCGCGAGCGAGAGGAAACGAACGAAGAGAGAGAGATCTCTAAAGCCGATCGAACGTAGCACGGCACAAACACCGCCGTGGGAGAAGCGTCGGGAGGAGAAGCGTCGGGAGGAGATCGAATGAGTGGGCTGCCATTGCCGCGCGCGCGAGAGTCGGTAAGGGCGATTACGATTATTGATCTTCCATTCTTCCCAACGGCGGGAAATGCGAGCCCTGCCCAGCCTCCCTCCAGCGGGAAAAATGGACTGTCCGATAAACGGATAGTCCAGTACACTGTAAAAGAATTACGTGCGAGATCGTAACAATCATAGTGGCCGGGTAATTTTTAAGTTCACCGTCAAAGGTGTGTATTTAGATATATTTAAAGTAAAATCACTGTCAACTTTACAAATAAAACTATTCTTCTTTGTAGTAAAGAATTTGCAAACAAATTTATTAATGAAGTTAAGTTTATAGAAATATTTAAGTATTCGTCAATAAATTACGTATAATTTTTCTTAAGCTGTATGTTATTGAAGTTTACGGATATAAAAATGTAAGTATGATATGCGTGATACTACATTACCATTATGTTATATAATGTTACAAAAATATGCGTAGTTTCATAAATTTTTCGTTTAATATGAAGGTATATTTACACGATTTATAGATGTAAAAGTCCAAGTTTTTGTAAAAACACACAATTTTATATATTTTCACTATGAATTATGTACACTGTTAAGAAAAAAGAAATTTGCTTCTCTCTCTCCGTTAATGGAAGTAAATTTCAAGCAGGTACATTAAAAATATTTAATGTTGTCAATGAAAATGAAGTTATAAGTAACTTAAATTTAATGTTTATTTATATTAAATTTCATGCAAATCTATATAAAATTTAATAAAAAATGTACTAAAATTCGTAAAATTTTATGAAAAGTACACTAAATTTCATTTACACAAATATACTTTTCAGTTGCAGATACATTAAATTTAATTTATTGTCATAAAATTGAATTTAATTTGTGTAACTTAAAAGTACATTAAATTTCATAGCATTTTTAACAGTGTAGGTAATTTTTACATACATTATATTTAAGTAATTTTACATATTTGTTTACAGTGTATGTGTCGGATCTCTCGTCGCACGCGCCTCTTCGACGGGAAGAACCGCCGTGGAAAATGAAGGAGGCATGCGATGCGCACCATCACGCTCACCTCCTCGGTCACCCGGAGCGATACGTATCGACGGATAGACCGAGCTCTATACTTAAATCCGTGGGCCGTAACTCCTTGATTATCGATTTGAAAAGGGCATCAGCTGAATTAACTTAATCGGCAATTAATTCAGCAAACTCGAATCATCGTTCCTAGTTATAGTTTGATTGTTTAACCCTTCTGATACATATACCCCTCCTTGACAATGGAAACAATGGAAATGAGTTTAACGATCTAATGTTCATTTCTATCAATTTAGATTAACTTATTTATTAATGTCAGTTTAACTTACATTAATTTTTTTTCTAAACATTAGAAAAAGATAAAGAATAAATTAAACCGTAATTAAATTTAATCTATATTATTGGAAATGAATATAAGACAATATTTGAATCGAATTTTGATTAATTCAGCGATTAATGCCATTGGCAGAATTAGTATTGAAATCAGTTGTCTCATTTTTCTGCATGTTAAACAAAAGAATTAATATAATTCTGTTAATGTTAATAAAATAATACAGATACCACTGGATAAAATAATTATCGATTAAGTCAAACGGAGTTCATCAGAATCATCCCTAAATATTCAAACTATAAATACTATCTGAAATCGACCCTTTTTTTAAACAAAATAGATATTAATACCTAATTCTATGCATATTAATACAGATATTATTTAATATAAATTAAGATAGCACAGATATATATTGCTTGATATAAATTTATTAATACATTAATCATCGATTATAAATTAATTAAAACTTGATTAAAATCACCCCAATGAAAATTAGTGATCGCCGATATCAAATTACTCGATTCTCGCGTTGCATCGTTAAAGGACACACTCTGTCTGTAATTACTGTCGAAACTATTAAATGTAGATTATTATCACCAGCAGAAGTACGACACACCGATAATCAAAAGTAGCGGATCCTACTTTCAATACATATTTTTGTGAAATCGTCAATGCGTGATTTTCAGTACAGAAACAACATAAAAAAATACTTTTCTGAGAGATTTATGATTTTGCAAAATTTTAATTAACGTATACTTTTTTTTAAGTTTGAAACGCCACTGTTATGAAATTACGCTGCATACAAGAGGGTGAGATTCCGAACAACAGCACGATTGCTTGTAGACACGGATCTCTTTCCCGAGACGGTAATGTAGAAATCGAAGTGGTACGAATAGCTGACCGTGGAAGTTGTTAGCAACTGAACACTGTGATTTCATTAGCAGCTCTCATATAATATCGTAGGATAATAAATAATTTCGAATCATGATCAGTTATACGATCAGCTCAATAAGACGTAAATCATTGGGAAAGACAAATTGAGAAAATATTACATGCATCGTGATTCTCTATAAAGATTCAAAATAATTTTTCTTTGACTAAATTCCGATTAATTTAATTGATAATCAACTTTTCAAACTGTACCTATATTTGGACAGAATTATTAATTTTTCTGTTGTTTTACATTTAAAAAAATATTAGATTAGGAAAATAAAATAAAATTAAAAAATTTGCTCTAAGCAATTCGCTAATTAAATTAATCAGAGGTTAATTTAATCAAAGTCGCCCTGAAAATTAATATTAGAATTATTTTATATTTAAAAATTTTAACGTTAAAATTTTGAAGGCTCCATCAATCAAACTCCGATTAACTTAATTGATCAATTTTATCAAATTATTTTATTAATAAAGAGTTATTAATCTTTTATTGTTTAACATATAGAAAAATCAGGGACTACTAATTGTATAGTTAAAAATTTTACTCTGTAATTCTGTTTGTAATTGATTTGAAGCTTGATCGAAGTTACTTCCCCATTGATGAAGCGAAAGCACTCGTTGTGAACACCTGTTCCGGAAATGAAACTTAAAATATCTTTGGACATATAAATGGACTGTTTCAATAAGCAATGAAAAGTACAAGGCGAAACTTTATTCATCTTTTGTACATATTTTCTTAAAAATTAATTCTTTCTTCCTCTCTGCCTCTCTTTCTTCAAATTAATAAATATTCAATTGAATAATTTTTGTAAAATTAATATATCTTCTCAAAAAAATATTAAATTCACAATTTTTTATTTTATCTTTTATTATAAAAAGTTTATTAATCCATTAATCCTTCAGAATATTTACATATATATCTGTTAAGTCTATACTTCGAGAAATTCTCATTTACCGTCAATGAACTTCGCGTTCAGATTATGGATAAATATCATGTAACATAATAATATGTCTAACATAGATTATCTTCTGATAGCATCATTGTAATACAACCATTCTGATTTCAGCGTCTTTCAATAGCAGTATAAAAATACGAGAGCTAAACATTTTGGGAATCGTATCGCATTTCGCTTCGGAACAGACCGGAACAAACCATGGAAACAAAGCGAAGCACGATGCCACTTTAGACAGATTTATTTTCGTTTGCGTTAACAGAGGGATACGTGTTACACAAAGCATACGATTTACCGGCTGCGAACGCTGGTAATCGTCCGCGTAGAATACTCGACAATGTTATGCGCCAGATATTCGACGAATGTAACTTCTCGGAGTTATCGAATGTGGATATTACGTAGATACATAGTCCGTTCCTTTTCTCCTGTTCTTCATTAAACCACACAAGATAAGAAACGTTACCACTAAGATAATTATTAAATATAGACCTTCCAATCAATGCGTGGAAAAAATTGTTAGACCGGAATGGATTAGAGAATTATTTTTTAAATTTAATACATACAGAAAAAAAATTAGAGACAATGAAGTAAATAATTAAAATTTTTAATTATATAATTAAAGATGCCACTTAAAGTTCGCAATGCTCATCTAAACATCGAATGCTCGCTAAACATCATTTGTTCTTGTTTAACATTTGATGAACAAAAAGGATGAAATCATTCTTACAATTAGAACGTTGCGAGCTCTCTATGAGTGATTCTAAACTATGAAACCTGTCGTCACAAGTTCTTAGTTTTATCTGCGCATAAAATATGTAAAAAGTTGGTGCAATTTTATTACTCGCGAAAATGTGAAAGTGCTCAATTGTTCATGAAAAAACAAAAGAGAGAGAGAGAGAGAGAGAAAAGTTTTTTAAATTCTTTTTTCGTGATATTTTGCTAAAAATAAACCGTTGCCGATCGGCAACGATGTTTTTGCCAATCAAGATTACGTAGATCACTTATGTTAGACGAAATTTTTGGAAACGACATGCGAGTGAGAGTTTTCCCGATTGCCAGGAAATCCGCCGAATACCACGAGCATCGAAGAGGGAGAGAAACAGAGCATCTCGGGAGTCGAAAATAACTGCAGCGGAGGAAGGTGTCGAGGGGACCGTACACGATTTCGGCGGTTCCGGGTGAGGGAGGGGACCGACGACAGTTGTCTTCTGCTGCTCTCCGGTGCTTTCGCTTTTCCGAGGGTCCAGTGTGTTTCGCCACCCGAGGAGAATTCGCATGCTCCACGTATAACAGCGCGAAGGTAGGTGCCGCGTTCTTGTTGTATCACGCGTTGAAATCTCCGTCATCGATCGCGTTCCGCGGGAAACGAGGATACGAGAGATCAGGTGAGACAGGAAACCGAGGAAGTAAATGAAGGAGACGATAGAATACGGAGGCGTAAGAAAGAGATCGAAAATGCAGGTGGTGCAGAGGAAAGTGAAAAATTCGTAGGAAAATGTGAGAGAAACGTGAAAAGAGAGGAAAAAAATAATTAAATGATGTAGAAATTCAAAAATATGAAAAATTGAGGATCAAAAAATAAATAGAAAATCTCGAAAGAATAAATGAACAAACGTCTATATTTTTTTTATAACACAACTTGTAGGTGCAGCTTACAATTATAGTTTGGAAAAAAAAATTCAGTGATAAATTACTGCATTCTATTCCATAAATCGTTCGCATTAAAGATTATACTACCTTTCTTTCTTATTAGCAACGTAATTGACAAGGTAATTGTCGTACTCAATTACCGCATCTTGGCACCGCTTAATTGTCATGAGAAACTAGGCCAAGCCGTCGTTGCCATCAATTACAATTAACGGAGACAGAAATGATCAGTTCTTTCAATAAAATGATCTACAATGAGATTGATTCCTCTTTCTTCTTCAGTTCTTCGATAAACTGCCCAATTTATGATTCTAATCAGCATAAAATATTCAAATAAACTTAGGAAAAATTAATTTCTATTCTACTTCGCGTGTAAATTATATCTTCATATATAAATTATATCTTCATGTAATTAATTCGTAGAATCGAGCAGCACGTTATAAATAATAGTAAATGAAGTATAAAGCACAATAATTATTTATATCACGAAGAAATCATTTATATCGTTACAGTTATTCTCGAATTAAACTACGAGTGAGTCAGCGGGATGTATCGTCTGTAGAGGCAGATCCGTCCAGCCAAAAAAACGTGTGACGTCCCGTCAATGCGTATCTCGTCAGTACGCTGCGACTTGCAGAGGTGGTGATTGAAATTTACACGACAACGCTCTCTCAGCGCGCCGCCCCGTCTATTCGCATCGCGCTTTAAACCGTCGCGGGTGAATCCGTCACAACACATCGCGAACGGCCAAAAGTTGTTTTGAACGCAACACTGCACCGTATCGTTGAAACAATCGGCCAAAAATAGACGATACGTCGTGCGTCATACCGATGAATATAATTCCGCAAAGCGCAAAAATTGTCATCGTCTCTGCTATGTAATATTAATTCCCAATCCCATGTAATATTAATATTACATTATATTACAATTATATCAATATGCAATATTAATATAGGATATTAATTGTTATCAATATAGGATATTAATTAATCAATATCCTATGTTGATAACAACATTCTATAATGTCGACGTTGATATTACATATTGATATAATATGATGTAATATTAATGTGCAGTCGATATCGAGATCTGCAGATCGATCGAGTCCCGAAAAGGGGTCATTTCGGATTTTTTTCAGTCACACGTATAAACACATGCATGTAAAGCGTTTTGTCCATCAAAGCTGCCTTCACTTAAATAATATATTATAAAATTAGCAATGCAAGTGAACATTAATGCATATACATGTGTAATAATTATCGACGTACACACGCGGTAGATAAATAGAGACAGAATGAGAGAGGGGGAGAGAGAGAGAGAGAGGAAGAAATCATTATTTATTACACACCCTGGGACAGATCCCCTCAGGCGTAAAAAACTTATACATGAATTGATCATACGACAGTATAGTAACATCATTGAACATATATTATATATAAAAAAAAACAAAAATAATAATGTATGAATATAATATAAAAAAAAGAAAAATGTAAGATGAGAAATTGTGTACAAGAAATATAATGAGAAATACACACAGCAAAGCAGGGTGAGTATTAGCTCGGTGATTAAGTGATGTCCAAAAATAGGAGAATGGGGGGGGAGAGAGAGAGAGAGAGAGAGAGTGGGGGCTTGCCATCACACGCCCGCGCCGCACGCACCACGCATGGGGATCATAAGGGCAATTATTGATCCTTCAGTCTTCCCAACATGCAACGCGGGAAATGCGAGACCTGCCCAGCCTCCCTTAGGGCAAGAGAAGACGAGAGAGCACGACAGAGGAAAAGAAAGAGAGAAAGAGTGGAAGAGAGGAAAGCAATTAATTTTAATTTTTTTTTTATATATTATTAAATATTCAATAAATATACAATTTATTATTATTATTTTCTCTCTCTCTTTTTAGAAGATTTAAATTTTATATTATATTTTCATATATAAAAATATACAAAAAGTAGTGAAATCCCTAAGAAAACCTTTTTAAAAAAAGAAAAATTGTACACCAAGTGTATAAAAAAGGTATCGAATATTATATTCTTCTTAATCAAAAACGGATACGAAATAAATGCAAGTTCAGTATTTTATCACGCAAGATACATAAGATTGATTGAAAGTGACTAAATGGTCAACTATAGTAAAGAAAAAACTTGGCGTGCCCGGGTCGCATTAATTGCACTTCTGTGAATGTATCATTTGAACACAGTATTTGCATTATGAAAATGTAAAAATAATAGACATATGTATATAATATATATATATATACAGGGTGTTTCCAAATTAAATCGCAAAACTTCGGGAGCGTGTAGAGGAGTAAAAAACTAAGAAAAAAAGTCCTATAGACATATGCTCGTTTTTGCTCCGTTTCAAAGAAATCGAAAAAAAATGTTTATATTCCTTGCCATACCTAG